TTGACATCCTTTGTTAGTTGTATTCCTAGGTATTTTATTCTCTTTGTAGCAATTGTGGATGGGAGTTTGCTCATGATTTGGCACTCTGTTAGTTTGTTGTTGGTGTATAGAAATGCTTGTGATTTCTGCACATTGATTTTGCATCCTGAGACTTTGCTAAAGTTGCTTATTAGTTTCAGGAGATTTTAGGCTGAGACGATGGGGTCTTCTAAATATACAATCATGTCATCTGCAAATAGAGACAATTTGACTTCCTCTTTCCTAATTGAATATGCTTTATTTTTTTTTCTTGCCTAATTGCTCTGGCTAGAACTTCCAATACTATATTTAATAGGAGTCATGACAGAGGGCATCCTTGTCTAGTGTTGGATTTCAAAAGAATTGCTTCTAGTTTTTGCCCATTCAGTATGATATTGCCTGTAGGTTTGTCATAAATAGCTTTTATTATTTTGAGATATGTTCCTTCAATACCTAGTTTATTGAAAGTTTTTAGCATAAAGTGCTGTTAAATTTTGTCAAAGGCCTTCTCTGCATCTATTGAGACAATCATGTGGTTTTGTCTTTGGTTCTGTTAATGTGGTGGATTACGTTAATCGGCTTGTGTTTGTTGAACCAGACTTGCATGCTCGGGATGAAGCCTACTTGATCATGTTGGGTAAGCTTTTTCATATGCTGTTGCAATTGGTTTGCCAGTATTTTATTTAAGATTTTTGCATCTATGTTCATCATGGATATTGGCCTGAAGTTTTCTTTTTTTGTTGAGTCTCTGCCAGGTTTTGGTATCAAGATGATATTGGTCTCATAAAATGATTTGGGAAGGATTCCCTCTTTTTGGATTGTTTGGAATAGTTTCAGAAGGAATGGTACCATCCGCTCTTTGTATGTTTGGTAGAATTCAGCTGTGAACCCGTCTGGATCTGGACTTTTTTTGGTTGGTAGGCTGTTAATTGCTGCCTCAACTTCAGCCCTTGTTATTGGTCTGTTCAAGGTTTCAACTTCTTCCTGGTTTAGGCTTGAGAGGCTGCACGTGTCCAGGAATTTGTCCATTTCTTCCAGGTTTACTGGTTTATGTGCATAGAGTTGTTTGTAGTAGTCTCTGATTGTAATTTGTATTTCTGTGGAGTCAGTGGTGATAACCCCTTTATTGTTTTTTTTATTGCACTTATTTGATTCTTCTCCCTTTTCTTTTTTATTAATCTGGCTAGCTGTCTGTCTATTTTGTTGATCTTTTCAAAAAACCAGCTCCTGGATTTATTGATTTTTTAAATATTTTTTTGTGTCCCTATCTCCTTCAGTTCTACTGTGATCTTAGTTATTTCTTGTCTTCTGCTAGCTTTTGAGTTTTTAAAATCTTGGTCCTATAGCTCTTTCAATTTTGACAATAGGGTGTCGATTTTAGATGTTTCATTGCTTCTCTGCTGGGCATTTATTACTATAAATTTCCCTCTAGACACTGCTTTAAATGTGTCCCAGAGATTCTAGTATGTTGTGTCTTTATTCTCGTTGGTTTCAAAGAACATCTTTATTTCTGCCTTCATTTCATTGTTTATCGAGTTGACATTCAGGAGCCAGTTGTTCAGTTTCCATGAAATTGTGCAGTTCTGAATTAGTTTCTGAATTCTGAGTTCTAATTTGATTGCCTTGTGGTCTGAGAGACTGTTTGTTATGATTTCTGTTCTTTTGCATTTGCTGAGGAGTGATTTACTTCCAATTATGTGGTCAATTTTAGAGTAGGTGCCATGCAGTGCTGAGAAGAATGTATATTCTGTGGATTTGAGGTAGAGGGTTCTGTAGATTTCTATTAGGTTTGCTTGGTCCAGGTCTGAGTTCAAGTCCTGGATATACTTGTTAATTTTCTGTCTTGTTGATCTGTCTAATATTGACAATGGGGTGTTAAACTCTCCCACTGTTATTGTGTGGGAGTCTAAGTCTCCTTGCAGGTCATTAAGAACTTGCTTTGTGAACCTGGGTGCTCCTGTATTGGGTGTGTATATATTTAGGATTGTTAGCTCTTCTTGATGCATGGATCCTTTTACCATTATGTAGTGTCCTTCTTTGTTTCTTTTGATCTTTGTTGGTTTAAAGTCCATTTTATCAGAGACTAGCATTGCAACTCCTGCTTTTTTTTGCTTGATAAATCTTCTTCCATCCCTTTATTCTGAGCCTATGTGTGTCCTTGCACATGAGATGGGTTTCCTGAACACAGCACACTGATTGGTTTTGACTTTTTATCCGATTTGCCGGTCTGTGTCTTTTCATTGGGGCATTTAGTCCATTTACATTTAAGGTTAATATTGCTATGTGTGAATTTGATCCTGCCATTTTGATGTTAGCTAGCTGTTTTGTCCATTAGTTGACACATTTTCTTCATTGTGTTGATGGTGTTTACCATTTGGTACATTTTGGAGTGGCTGGTACTGGCTGTTCCTTTCTATGTTTAGTATTTCCTTCAGGAGCTCTTGTAAGGCAGGCCTGGTGGTGATGAAATCACTTTGCAATTGCTTGTCCATAAAAGATTTTCTTTCTCCTTTGCGTATGAAGCTTAGTTTGGCTGGATGTGAAATTCTAGATTGAAAGTTATTTTCTTTAAAGATGTTGAATATTGGCTCCCACTCTCTTCTGGCTTGTAGAGTTTCTGCTGAGAGATGTGCTGTGAGTCTGTTGGGCTTCCCTTTGTGGGTAACCTGACCTTTCTCTCTGGCTGCCCTTAGCATTTTTTCCTTCATTTCAACCCTGGTGAATCTGATGATTATGTGCCTTGAGGTTGGTCTTCTTGAGGAATATCTTTGTGGTGTTCTCTGTATTTCCTGGACTTGAATGGTGGCCTGGCTTGCTACGTTGGGGAAGTTTTCCTGGATAATATCCTGAAGAGTGTTTTCCAGCTTGGATTCATTCTCTCCATCACATTCACATACACTTATCAAATGTAGATTAGGTCTTTTCACATAATCCCTTATTTCTTGGAGGCTTCGTTCATTTCTTTTCACTCTTTTTTCTCTATTCTGGCCGTCTTGTTTTATTTCATTGAGTTGATCTTCAATCCCTGATATCCTTTCTTCTGCTTGGTCAATTTGGCTATTGAAACTTGTGTATGCTTCATGAAGTTCTCGTGCTATGTTTTTCAGCTCCATCAGATTGTTTATATTCTTCTCTAAGCTGTTTATCCTATTTAACATCTCATCTAACCTTTTTTCTACATTCTTAGTTTCTTTGCATTGGGTTAGAACATGTTCTTTTAGCTCTGAGAAGTTTGTTATTACCTACTTTCTAAAGCCTGTTTCTGTCAATTCATCAGACTCATTCTCCATCCGTCTTTGATCCCCAGCTATTGAATAATTGTGATCCCTTGGAGGAGGAGAGGCCTTCTGGTTTTTGGTGTTTTCCTCCTTTTTGCACTGGTTTCTTCCCATCTTAGTGGTTTTATCTACCTGTGGTCTTTGCAGTTGGTGACTTTCGGTTGGGGTCTCTGAGTGAATGTTCTTTTTGTTGCTGATGAAGTATTTCTTTCTGCTTTTTAGTTTTCCTTCCAACAGTAAGGCCCCCTCTGCTGCAGGACCGCTGGAGGTCCACTCCAAACCCTGCTTGCCTGTGGATCACCTGCAGGGGCTGCAGAACAGCAAGGGTTGCCACAGATTTCTTCCTCTGCTATCCTTGTCCCAGATGAGTACCCACCAGATGTTGGCCTGAGCTCCCCTTTATGAGGTGTCTCTTTGTGTATATGGGAGTCTGCGAGCTGCTTAAGGAGACGGTCTGTCCCTTATAGGAGCTCAAGTGCTGTGCCGGGAGCTCCATTGTTTCATGCAGAGCTGCTGGGCAGGTACCTTTAAGTCTGCTGCAGCTGAACTCATAACCACCTCTTTTCCCAGGAGCTCTGTCCTAGGAAGGTCAGCTATATTTGTAAGTCCCTGTCATGCTGCTGCCTTTTTTCATAGATGCCCTGCCCTGCATGGAGTAGTCTAATCACAGTCTGCCAGCAGAGATATTGCTGAGCTGCTACAGGCTCTGCCCAGCTCCTGTGTGAAGTGGTAAACTGCCTCAGTAATAGGGGATGCCCTTCCCCCCATTAAGCTGGACAGTCCTGGGTCCAGCTGTGCTTGCTGCGAAACTCTCAATCCAGAGCATTTCAGATTGCTTATTTTGTGAGGGCAGTACCCACCGAGCCAGATCCCCTGGCTCCCTGTCTTAGCCCCCTCCCTTTCAGTTGAATGGGCAGCTCTGTCTCCCAGGCCTTCCAGGCTCCGGCAGAAAAGGCAGCCCAGACTTGTGTGTGAGTTACTGTGCTCCGACGTGGCACCAGCTGCAACCTCTGCGCTGATAACTTGTGGTGCTTTTTGGCCTGGGGATCTCCTGGTCTGTGGGCAGTGAAAACTTGTTTGGAAATGTAGTGAGCACTCACCCTCTATACTGTTCTCACCGGGAACTGCACTCTGGAGCTGTTCCTATTCGGCCATCTTAGATCTTCTCCCACAATGCTTTTTTTAAATTTTTATTTTTTTGAGATGGAGTCTTGTTCTGTCACCTGGGCTAGAGTGCAGTGGCACAATCTCGGTTCACTGCAATCTCTGCCTCCTGAGTTCAAGCGATTCTCCTGCCTCAGCCTCCTGAGTAGGTGGGATTACAGGTGCAGGTCACCACGTCTGGCTAATTTTTGTATTTTTAGTAGAGACGGGGTTTCACCATGTTGGTCAGGTTGGTCTTGAACTCCTGACCTCAGGTGATCTGACTGCCTCAGCCTCCCAAAGTGCTGAGATTGATTACAGATGTCAGCCACCATGCCCAGCCAACAAATGCTTTAGTCATGTGGGAAGTGGCTCTATGTAAAATGTTATGTCTTAAGAAAGATTCAACATACCTACCCATGTACCCCCAGTATCTAAAATAAAAGTTGAAAAATTTTTGAAAACTTACAAAATTGTGCAAATCTCAAATGGATAGTCAATTTCTGCATGTCTATCTCTTTATGAATATTCAGATATAAATAGAAGAAACCCAAATTGAAATATATAAAAATATTAAAGTTGTCCTTTATTTTTATGTGTATTTTTTCATTTTTCTTTAATGAGAATGGATTTCTTTTGTAGTAAAATGTTATATTGAAACAAAGATTGAATGCTATATCTATAGTAACTTAAACTGGTCTTTGACAAAAAGGACTAAATCTAGGGTTACAAAAGATACATGAAAACTGGCACTAGACACTGGAAAAATCTTTTTTGAGCCTCAGTTTCTCAGTAAGGAGATGCTTAAATTGATTCGATTTAATTAATTGAATCAGTTAAATAGTTGATTCAATCCCTGAATCAACTCTGACAAGTGTAGCTTGGGCTGAGGTTTTAAAACTATACCGTCTATTTTCTCACATATGAGAAAGAACCTGTGCAAGCAGTTTCATGGTTCCTGGCGGCCTTTGAAGTTCTAGGGTGCAGAAGGGTTTGAGGCTTCCGGGGGCAATGGTTAGGCTTGCTCTCAGAGGGGGCAAGGCCGAAGCTCTTGGAGGGATCCTAAAGACCCTGCTCCTTCTGCACGGGTGCCCTGGGTCCAGAGTCTTCTGTTAGGGAATCTGGCTTTCTTCTATAGGTGTGAGGCCTTCTTACCATGACGTCCCATTTAACGTACCTGCATTTCCCCCTCTCCGTTACACTGTAGTTAAGAATATATACTACACTTTGGTGCATAAGACTAGAAAGTAAAAATATCATTTTGATATGATTGATTTTCACACTGAACATAAAGAAGACCCTCTTTAACTCTGCGGGGCTGTGTTCTCCTCCAGAGGGACCAGGGAGCCATCTCACATCCTGCCGAGGACGGTTTCATGCCCTCCTTAGACAATCTTGATGCAAAAGAAGACAGGTCATTTTCTTGTTTTAGATGAGAATAACTGAAGATTTGATTTCAGCTAATTTTATATTAGCAATTTAAAATATTCCCTCAGGAGACAGAAATAAATCTGTAGGAACAGCAAAGTTTCCAAATATTAACATTTGCTTTTGGTTCAGACTGTCAAAAGCCTTTATTCCCACCCTTCCCCCAACTTCTCTTTAATTTTACCTGTTCTGAGCTCTTCAAGTACTAAACAATGAAATCTCAGATGCTTCTGGCAACTATGTGTTATTAGTAAGGGATGGCACCTTGTTATTTGATTGCATTTTATGATTTCCTTCAGCTCAATGTGTATCTGATATTGGAGGGCTCTCCCAATGGGTTGAGATTGAGAGATGCTACAAATGATGTGGTTTTTATTATTTCTGTGGACTCCTGTGCAGCCAGGTGAAAACCCTGAGGCTGTGTAGGCTGGAAGTCAGGCCGAAGTTACCCTGTTCTCACTAGTAGAGCCCAGTGTCCACACCCCAGCACAGCCACTTCTGCCTGCATCATAGAATGGCTGGGGCAGCTGCTGTTCTGCCAATTTAAGATGCTTGTTCCACAAGGAGATCAGTAGGCGTTCAGCACAGCTATCCGGGCCTTTTCGCACAGTGGGTCTAGTGTACCGTCGCCTCCTAGGGAAATAGACATAATTGTCTTTTGGTTAGCTTCATATACAGTTTATTATCGTATCAGACATACCTATGGTTTCTACCCAGAGGGCATTTTCAAAGGCCATGGGCAAGTAAAATGTTAACTAGTTTTTAATGGAGTTAAATAGAATGGATTGCAAAGCTTTGACTTCTGAGCACAGAGAGGCATGCACGGTGACAGCCTGCCAGGCCTGAAGCTCTCCAGGGCAAAGAAATCACTTGAACGTTGCTGATAGTGTCATGCACTACTGGCATATCAACTCAAATTGTCTTAGCAAGTCTAGATAGAATAAATATATGGAACAAAAGCAGCTTTGAATGCAAATAATAGTAGAATACATACTATTGAAGTACAAAAAACTGTTATCCCTTAATCCCATCACATTCCTTGAAATCCAGGGCTTCACTTCATTTTCCTTCCTCTTCTGTTTCCAGTGTTTGGGGAAACTCAGAGCATCACACACTCTACTATGTGGTTCGGATGCACTCCAGTGTGTGCCACAGGGCACAGGGCTTTCAGTAGGAGTTTCATACTCAGACAGAAGCCCAATTTGAATCCTGGCATGATGCACTGATCATTTCAACTAGAAATTGAGGGACTCCTCAGAGGAGACAAAATGCTGGCTGGAAATGTCGCTAAAGGACTTACCAAACTCCAGGTCCTTAATGTTGCAGTGGAAGACGACGTCTTCATTCACCATAAGTTCCACCACATTCCAGTCTTCTATCTTCTCTAGGATGACCTCGTGTCCATCTTTGGCCAATACAGCTAAGAAGGACAGGAAGGGAGGTGGGTGACATGGGGTCAGTCTTTGAACTAACCTGATTGGTAGCAGTTCCAGTCCTCATGATGACAGTAGCTTGTCTGCCATCTAGTTGCTCATGGGTGTCACTCAACTGCCCTGGTAGGCACTTACTGGGTGCTGGTCCCAGGTGCCCTCACCTTTGTTGAAAAGCACAGCCAGAGGCCTGAGTAATTCAGGTTTCAGTTGCTATTTGTTCTAAACCATGGTGATCTGTTAAACAATGAGCTTTCTCTAGTAAAGGGCTATTGGGCTTTGCAGAGGCTCAATCTTATAGAGACCATACTCAGTGCTGGAGAAGACTCAGGCAGGGGGATAGGCAACTTCTTACCCTGCTGATGGAAGTACAAATTGGGCACCTCCTGGAGGGCAATTTGGCTGTACCTACCAAAAGCCTCAAAAAATGATTTGAATCTTTACTCCAGGAAATTGCACTTAAAAGAAAGCTTCCTAAGGAAAAATGTAAAGAATACAGGCAAATTTTTGCAACAAGGTGTCTTTTCTGTATTATTATGATAGTAAAATACTGTGAATAACTTATATGTCCAACAACGAGAGGAAGGCCAAGTAAATGGCGGAGTGTCCCTGTGATGAGATTTTATTTGGACATTTATAAAAATGTTTATGAACTTTTTTAATGGCAAGGAGAATACTTGCAACATAAGTAAAAACTTAGGATACAAACATGTATAATACATGTTTAAAATATATAGTCAATATGAATTCAAATATGTATGTAAGGATGAAGAAAATACCTATTGATTATCTTCTGTGGTGAGATTATGGGAAACGTTTTTCTCTTTATTCTTTCAGCATTTTCCAGATTGCCTATAATAATCTGAAAAAAATGATTTTTTAGAAAAGCTAATGAACTAACTTTTTAGTCTCATCTTTGGAATCTGTGTTTTGGTTATCACTTACATTCAATGGCTCCTTCCCCAGAGATCAGCCATGGAAAAATTGTTAGATTTAATCTTTTTATTGTGAAGAAGCAAGTGTAGCTCAGAAGTGATGTGCATTGGATAGCCTAGGGCTCTACTTTTTCCAATGTATTTCTCACCAATTTCCTGGATATGTTTACCCCATAACATCAATATTAGAGTGGGTGTGCCAAACATTATCTTTGATGGTCTTCATGTGTTGGTGAGAATTTTGGTTAGGATGGAAAGAGAAAACAGATGGGGGAATATTCTTTAAAGTGTTGGCATTTCAATCAGTTTTACATGGAGAAAAGCAAACAGTTATGTCAGTTAATTGCATTTAATTACAGAGACAATTGCTGTTTCAAAATGGTGTGTCCACTTCTTCATCTTTCAATCAGTTCAAGAACATCCAGCCCCAGCTGTGAACATTTTAATTGCGTGATTTTAATTTCACTTCTGGAAAGGAACTTCAGAAAGAGACTCAGCAAGGATCTCCATTAACAAGACAGCACTCCCTGGGCACCCAGAGGCGGCCCTAATTGAGCCGCGTCAGCTAATGCGTCTCTAAAAAACACCTGCACCTTTTTCGTTGGCATATTTATGATCTTGTATTCTGTTTAAGTGTCTTCTTCTTAAACATCTTTAAAGAAGGCACTCAGTTTGAACCCATGACTTGTTTAAATGTAGCGGTCCAGCTCATGTGGAAAGGCAGCTGATGGTCTAGGGAGACATAAAGGCAGTCCATGGGCAGAGATTTCTGGGATCCCATGCTCCCTCAGCAGCAACCCCTCAGGACAGGGGAGCTGCATTTGTCTGAAGACACGCCTGGAGGATGGATTTCAATTTGACAGGAAGAAATCAGGAACAAAACAGCTTCTCCATTCCCACCTTACACCTGCCTCCCACCCCACCTGTGGGGCAAGGTGCTGCCACTCAGTGTTAACACCCAGTGCCAACTCTCTAAGGCCTGGAGAGGTGAGGGTGCATGGACTGTGGGTGAGGAGTGGCCCTACGGGAGGAGGGCCCAGGAGGCGAGCACACTGTAGCCTGCCCTTGGCCCTCCTGCAGGGCCTGCTGACTGAGCCTCACATGGCATCTGAGCTTGGAGTTTGTTTTGAGGACACGGGCACTCTTACACTCTTACATGGCACGGTGTAGCTCAGAAACAGGATCTGATCCACTGAATCACTAACCCTATAGAGTTGAGGGGTGCTGAATAATGAGGGTCCACCTCACGTTTGAGCAAATGAAGCCCAATAGGAAGAAACCATCTTAAGAGACACATCACTCCTCACTCTACCCTCTAAAGGGTTGCAAAGCACAGGCTCTCGTGGTCTTAAAGGACATGTGTCTTCCTCACTGAACACAGTTCTCTTCAAGTGCCGGGTTTTCATACAGGCTCACTGAAGAAGCAAACACAAAATGGCCCTGGGCACCACCACCCTTATGGACCCAGAGTGACCTAAGTCTGATTCTTGGTAAGGCGACAAGCTGCCTCAGAGTCCACATTGACTGTTCAGCCCCAGGACACTCCCTTCCCATCAATCTGGGAGGTGCTGAGCTGGCTGTAAGGTGGCCATGGCAGGCTTAAGGGATCAAACACCAGACGCCCTGGAATTCCTGCAGCTCATCCAAATGCCACCTCTCTACACGGAGCACCCATTTCCTCCCATGAGTTGCTGTGGGGTTGTCTAGTCAAAGAAAGGTCAGATAAATATACTCCCTAAAACAAAGTCTGTGCAAAGGCAGTGGCTAAACTCCAGCATAAATCAACCAGAAGCTGTAAGGCCACCCGCAGTCCGCCGGCCTCTTTGAAGTGGCACCTCATTCTTCAAGGGGGATTTAAATAAATGAAAGGGACATGGAAAAGGCTCCCTCCTCTTCAGTGCTGGTGGAATTGCGCACCATCTGCGAATGATTTAAATGCTGCTGGTCAGGAAGTCGAGGTAAACAGACCTCTTTCCCTCCTCTACCCAGCACAGAGGCATACCCATGCCCACAAGCGAGGGCCGCTGATGCATAGTAGCACAGGAGAATGGCACACAGGGTGTCTCAGCTACATAGGGTGGATTCTATTTTATGGATTGGTTTCAGTTCCTTCCAAGCCCTCTGAGTGGGTCATTTGACAAACTTAAGTACAGCGCGCAAGGGGCAAGCGTGGCCAGGAAAATTACTTAGAACTTTTTATTAAACATTAGTTTAGCTTCACCAGCATTGAGGCCATAGTGGAAACATTTTGCTGAGCTATTATAATTTATGGATAATGAAGAAAGAACAAAAATTTTCAGATTGCTAAAGGCATGGTAAGTTCAGAAAAGATCGGGTCTATTTCTAAAGCCAGCAGGGCTTCAAGAAATGATAAAGAGCTATAATTTTTAAAGAAACACACAGAATTCAGATGCAGATTTTACAGAGGAGGGCCTACAAAGGTACCACTCTCTGCCTGCTGTGCGGTAAGTGCTGGGTCTAAAGTTGTGGGGGGCGCAGATGCTCCCTGCTTTGCTGCAGTGAACACCCTGGCCTTTGTTGGCTGCCGGTATTACGTGGCTTATCATTCGCTGATGTACAGACCTGGCTTTACAAATCAACCACCTGCTGATACCTTGCAACCCTCAAGTCTCCTTCAGCCACAAAAATGCTCCTCTTGCTCTCCTCCAAATACTCTTCCCCTCCCCTACTGTGGGAAGAGCCGCCTGTGCCTGCTGCCTTTGCTTTTTGCTGTTTCCACCAGCTCACTGCCTGCAGGGAAGCCTTCGGCTCACCGGGTCCAGAGCCTGCCCTCTCATAAGTCAGGAAACCATCCCACATTCAATGGCTTCCCAGCGCTCCCCATCCCTCTTGGACTCACCTTCTTTCTTGTTTCTTTAAAATGCTTTTGATGGTAAAAACAAATACGTATTTTGAACTCTAAATTTTTTAAATCAGATTATCAATGTAACACAGATTCATAGTTTTTTTTTTTAAAAAAAAACTTTAAAATTATGGAAAAGTACAACATTTTAAAAATCACCCCTAATTCTTCTCTGACTCTGTCTTTTCAGTGGCAGTGAGACCATGGCATTCAGGACTGCGATTTGTTCCCCTTGCACCACAGTGTGTGTGCCAGCCCTGTCACACACATAGTGCGGCTGCACTCTTCTTCAGTGCTGCGTAGTATTTTACATGACGTATGTACTACAACTTATTTAGCCATTTTTTCCTGGTTATTTCCAATTTTTTGCTGTCACTGAGAATGTTGTAGAAAACATTCACAGCATGCATCCTTGTGCGTGTGTGAGGTTTGTTTTTCTTTTCTAAGGAAGATATTGAGAAATGGAACAGTTGGATTCTACACTATATGGTCACATTTTAATAGACACTGCCAAGTTGTCCTCCAAGGTGACAGTTTAATTTACTCTCCTGCCAAGGGTAAATTAGAAAAATACTCTTTTTTCTCAGTCTTTCATCAGCCATGAAATCATCTCTCTCTAGAAATCACCTCTACTCAATAGTTTGGAGCCCACGGGTCATTTTCTTCTCGAAATGCCCTTGCTTGCCCCCTTGTGCCTCCAGTGCTCTCCTCCTCAGTGCCTGCTCTTCCATAGGCTGCTCCTCTTAACACTCCCTGGCCTTAGGGGGGCCGTCCCATCATCCTGATATCTCTGGTCCTGTCTTTCATTGTGGTAGGTAATAACCAGCACCAAGAAGAAATAAGGAGGGAAGGGAGAACAGGAAGAGGGAGGCAGAGGGAAGTGCTGACATTTTTGGTGGGATGTCCAAGGAAGGCCTGCCCATGAAGGTGACTTTTGAGGAATATCTTGAGACTGAGAGAATGAAGCTGAAGACCACGTGGGAAGGAGCATTCCAGGCAGAGTGGCGGTGAAGCCCCAAAGTGGGAGTTGGCTAGGAGCAGTGAAGGACTGAAGGAGGCGGCTGTGACTGCAGCTGCTGGCCAGGGAGAGGACAGGCAGAGGGAGGAGGTGGTGAGATCAGAGCCGGGGGCACGAGGAGCCTAGGGGGCCAGGTTAGCCTTTGGCTTCTCCCCTGAGTGAGCTGGGGGTCCC